AATTTTAATTGGCGTGTTTTAACTTTTAATTTATTTTAATTTTAAATGTAAATGTTGGAAAATTATTGTCAGTATTGTCGCGTTTGTTCTGTTGTGATCAAGGAGTTGTATTGTGAGCTTTTTGACTCGGAAACTTCTATTATAAAAAGAGCCTTGATAAAGACCTAAATAAAAGGTCGAAACGTCGGCGAATTTGTAAATAAGGAAGTTTTATTCCACTTTGTCCTTAACCCGCAACTTCTCTCTACCATAATAAAGAATAACTTTTTTCCGTAAAATTGATAATAAAAAAGTTTCCCATATACTGCGTACTTAAGTGGACACACTATAAGTATTGATAATCTTTGTTGACTTTATTACTGCCACTAAATTATGGATGTCTATAGAGGGTTTTTTGGAAAATAAAAAGCTCTATTCGGGCGCTCCTGAAATATTTATCGATGCTTCAAGACATAATAAATCATACCTCAAGAGCTATGTAAATACACTAGCAAAGGTTGTATTCCTTTAGGAACGTTGTAAAACTCAGCATTCAAGCTGATATCCAGTTTTTATTGAGAGGAAAAGATAAAGGCAAAATTAACGGCGCAAAGGGTCCCTGTCCGAATCGGGGCTCAGTTTATTGCAATGCGATCCAAACAAAGAATACATCTCGAGGACTTTTATATTATTTGGTAACGCTATAGCAATATTAATAAAAATGTTTTTGAGGACAATTCATCGCTCAAAGAGACTAACCAATTTTCAGAAGGACAGAGGAGTAATTTAGTTGGCTGTTAAACAATAATTGAATTATGGTCGATGTCTGAACTAATTTGTATATTTTTTGGATGTCATTCTTTCTAGAAAATTAATCAGCAATTTTGATATTGTTTCTGTTGAGTAACAGCTTTTTAGATATTAAATCAGGCTCCTTTTTATCTCGTACGAGGGCTATTCATGAATGAAATATGACTGACATCACTCATAAGCTGTGTCGGCATTATACTCTCGGACTAACCAAATTTCATTGCGTCAGTTACATTTCACACACAACACTAATGTTACATTTACATTTTTCGAACTTCCGTATGTCGTATTTTGCTTATTGAATTGGAAGGTTGTATCCTTTTAGAAGCGCTGTAAAACTCAGCATTTAAGCTGACATACAGTTTTTATTGAGAGGGAAAGATAAAGGCGAAATTTACGGCACAAAGGGTCCCTGTATGTACAACTCAGGGCTCAGTTCATTGCAATGCGATCCAAACAAACAATACATCTTGACGACTTTTATATCATTTGGTAACGTTATAGCAATATCAATAAAAATGTATATGATGAAAGAGTTCAGAAAAAATATATATAATGGCTATTTACATACCATGGGAGGCAGATAGTGCTTTTCCTCCGGCGCATAGTTTGATGCATGACGCGGACCGGAGGACGATAATATCGAAGGAAAGATAAGCTATTTTCCTCCGGAGGTATCACAGTTTTTTCTACTACCTCACTAGAAAGCGTCATTTTCGACCCCTGAAAACAAAGGAGGAAAAGTTTTTTTTTCTTTCTTGGAAACAGAAATTTTCTTCCCGGCTGGCGGGAGAAAAATTTCTGCAATATAATTTTTTTTCTTCACTGGGAACAGAAATTTTGCTGTCAATAAATTAGTAAACTGTCTTCAAAGGCAGTTGAAAAAACTATATTGTTTTTCTATCGTTTGGCGTTTGTTTCATAAGGATAATTAATATGTGATTTAATAGCGGAGCTATGACAATTTCACGATCAAATTCGCATGTTTAACAACTGACAATTCCCATATCTAGCAGTGTATCATATAACATGCAAGTATGAGGTAAGAGCAGTGCTTCTACTGTGTATTTTAATAAATGTTATTTTAACTCCAATGCCAAAAGATTTCGTACAATACTTAACCCTAGAATAGTAACCCTCCAAAAATACACGTAGATACTAACCTACGTAAAAACGTGTTCCATGTTTTTAGGTGTTTGTGTGTCTGTGGGAAATGAAAGTTTTACTAGATATGTCTGTATATCTTGTGTGAGTATGTTTTTAGTTGTGTACATACATTTAACTATGTTTTAGTAGAATTGAAAAAAAAAACTCTCCTCAAAACTTCCATCTACCCAGAATACAAAATAATAACTTCAGCCGCTTATAATATATGTAGGAAATTTTGGGAAATAATCTTATTTTTTTTTTGAATGAACAACACTCAGATAAAATTTGCGTTCATATTTTCTCAAAAATACCGCGAAATACCAATAAAATCAATAACTTTCGTTAAAAGAACTGAAGAAAGTACTAACCTACGTGAATTTTACGTACAGAAGAGTGTACTCACAGAATACATATCCTCACGGATAGAAGGCAAACTGCCTAATAAAATTTTGGGGAACAATGCGCCGTCACGGCCGGCGGATGCGATCCGAACTATTTATAATATAGGTTTCTGTAATCAAATAAACTGTCAAAATAGTTCACCCAATGTCAATTTTTTCAATATTAATTTTTCCCCAATGAACTATAAACTACAAGTACCTGGAATGGCCCGGCCTATCTCTAAAATGCGGCAAACTGAGATGGAAAATGTAGGGGATTCTTATCACTATTTACCTTATGGGTCACTTATGAAAATCTTTCCTTGTCTAAAAAATATTAAATTTGAGGTTAGGAATATACACCAAACCTAACAGCAATGAAATAGAGAGAGAAAGGGATCCCCCACTGTATAGCTTTCTTTGGACGCACTAAGAGAGATGACAAATGCCATACAAATGCCATATACGACAACGGTCGGTGCCATTCCAGGGGCCTTATTCTGTATTTATTTTTTGTAGACCGAATCTCTCGGTTCGGTACACTATCGAACGGCACAGTTATCGAACATTCGGTTCGATAGCGTACCTTGCAATTCAATATGGCTATTCGGTAACCATTTCGTTCGGTTTGAGAGGAATCGAAGGGCAACCGGAAAAATTTCCGAACGCCATGCAATGTTGTCGGATCCCAACCAATCAGAGTGCATGTATTCGTGCTTGACAGTTGACAAAATGATAGTTGTCAGGCTATTTTTTGATTTTGGTTGACAGTTAAATGAAATTAAAGTTTGTGTTGTTTACATTTAGTTTTCAATTTTGTTCTGCTTTTTGCCGGTTCCGCCAGTAATGCGAATACACCAAGCGTTACGGCTATAGCCAAAGCTGGAGAGAAGAGCTTGCTACTCTTGGCTATATACACACGCATCTGCTGCTACACAAGATGGATTGTTTTAGTAGATCAAAAACGTTTGGAGGTACGGTACAATACTCCCCCAGTCGGATCTCCGTGGGTTTCTGCTCATCGGCTCAAAAAAAATCGTTAAACTTTGCAGCATGGAACATTCGTACTCCGACTATGCAAAATACTAACACTACAAAACACGCAGAGAGAAGAACGGCCACAATTAGCCAAAAAACTAAATCGTAAATATTGACATTTCTGCGACGAGGGTAACAAAATTCCTGGATGAAAACACTGAAAACAGTCCCACTTCTACTCGAGGATTTTCACTGGAAGAGGAATCCCTGAGGAGCCTCATGTTAATCCTATTATTACTCGTCTTATCTGTTTCCTTCTGTGCCTAAAAATATAAAATGTATATTGAAAAAAACTGATTAAACATTAACACGCGTCACCATAACGTCAAAAACCTTTACCGAAATTCAAATCGAAACCCACAGTGCTATCGGTCAGCGAATCGAGGCTTCGATTGAGTTACCGATCGGTTTGATGCTACGGAATAGCTTCCACGCTACCAAACCGAAAATGACGTCACAATCGAAGAAATTCTACCGAATCGAACGGTTCGTTCTTTACAGAATAGGCTTCCAGGTACGTGTAGTTTATAGTTCATTGTTTTTCCCAATGATTTTTCCTCATTATAGTCGAATTCGATTCGACGGCTTCTACTTCCGAGTAGAGCAAAAACGGCCAAAACTTCTTGTGTTTGTGTCCCGCGTGTGGCTAAATTCACCAAAATGTTGCACCGCCGCGGATGCGGTGATTACGTTACGATTCACTAATGCCAATGCCCAGTAGTTTGGCAAATCCTGTTCAACTTAACACTGCTTTTTCTACTTATTCCACCCGGTACCTACACCAGCTGAATTTAGCCACTCGGGGGTTTTGTGTAAGATCTGATTTTTTTTTTTTTGAATTCAATAAACATTTTTCTGGATTTAAAATCCACACCAACACTAAGACAAATTCTCATTCAGAATTATTTTGACATATTTTTTTGACACATAGGTAGCAGGTAAACGAGGTAAATTAAATCTCATTGGGTAAACTGCAAAAGTAAACAGTGACCTGTATATTTTCTGATGGCCTTCATTCCGCACCTGTAATTGTGTTTTACTCCAGCGTCCCCAAGCGGATGCGATCCGAAGCTTTTTTTTTAGGCCCCGCCCTCCATTAGGCTTTTTTTTTTATCCGTGAGGATATCGCTCACCGGCGGCAATAGTGGCACATCTCAAAAATTGAAAAAAACGAACTAACTGTTAAATCAAATGACAAAATATATTTATTTTGTTGCAACAAGACTGGCACAAATGTAGTTATTATAGTTTCCCATAGATGGCGAAAGTGTCACTAATGGTTCAACGACAGTGGCACAACTTCAGTATGCCACAGACTTTCTAGGGAATTGTTTCGCTCTGTGCCGGCTATAGTGACATTTCTGTGTTGTGCCAGTATAGTGGAAGTTAAGTGTACTGTTTTCCCCCATATGATTTAATAAAAGTGACACAATTCGACTTATGCCAATATAGGTTTCCCGCTTTTGAGGATTTTTTAAGTTGTGTCATTATTGACTGTACTTTCTATTTATAATTTTGACTTGTGCCAATGTAGAACAAACTTGTTCGTTCATATTATTACCTGTGCCAGTCTGACGCAAGTAATAATATGAACGAATGGCTAGTGTTTGGCAGGATAGCGCTTATAGACAATTATTTCGCAATATGAATAATAATTCGACAAGCTATCGTGGTAAGAAGATGGTAGCTATAGTCAAAATGAGGTAATAAACTTTGGAATATTTTTACCCCTCTGCTTTACTTTATCTTAACAAACTTACAGGTTGCAAAGAGATATTACCAATACTGATCAATCAGAATGGAGTGTGGTTAGTCCATGCGCATCCAATGAGCGATCTGAAATAAATAACGTTACCTACAGTATTCGTAGATTTAATTCTGAAGGTAATGTTCATAGTTTTAATAATTTCCCGACTTGTTTATGATAAATTCTTATTATAAAACATAATTGCGATGTTTTAGAGGAACCAGTAATAAATGAAACAACGCAAGATATGGATATACCAGTGGCAAATGAGATTGTGGAGTCAGAATTATCTGGTCTAATTGATAATGAAACAGATGCTGCACAGCCTATAGAATACGAAAGTATAATTGTTACACAAAAACTGACAAAAATTACTACTTAATGCATTAATTTTCAGAAAATGTGACAAATGAAAGAAACCCAGAGCCAGAATCATCAAGTAACTCATCGATTGAAGAGCCCTATTCATCAGATGATTCAGTTGATGACCCTGATTATAGTAGCAGTTCATCTTCAAGCTCAAGCTCTTCCGACAGTGAATCAGATGTTGAAAATGCAATTCCTAACGAAACAACTGTAGTAAGAAAAAAAACAAGAAAAAGAAAAGCGGAACCATCAACTTGAAAAAAAAATTGTGCTAAGCGGCTAAGAAATAGTGGAAAATTATACAGAACGTTGGGAAATGGAAAGGAAATTCCGGAAAGAAAATTGAAACCTGCCTGCAACGAAAGCTGCAAGCAAAAATGCAGCAGTAAGTTTACTGAAGAAGAAAGGCTGATCATATTTAAAAATTATTGGGACATGGCAGATATCGTTAAACAGCGCACGTACAGTCAACAACTAAAGAAATGTCCCTCGATATGCGGCATCCTACTTCATTGCTACACAACGTGGCAACGGCGCTGCGCGTAAATGTTTACATTATTAAAATCCCTCCGATTTTTCATTGTTTGATTGTTTGGTGGATACGTATTTTTTTATATAGGATGCATTTTATTCAGTGTTTAATGTTAAAGTAGAAAAGCGGATGCTGATAATATTCACTTGCAAGTAAAATAATGAACTGAACTTTTTTAATACCTACTTGCGGTGAGGACAACAAAGGGTTAAGATACTAAAGAGGCTCAATATATCTCAAACATTTTGCAAGTTCATTGTTTTTGCAGTTTTCAAAATGCCCTCTGAGAAACTAGAATGTTATAAGTTTTGCATTACTTTAGTAACCCATACCTATAAGTGATTACACTTTATTAAACTTAAACGGTCGCAATAAGGGCACATCCAATTAATTTTTTATCCAGATTTTATTGAATAGTATTTCAATAAAAAAAATATTTATTAATTGCTATTCAATTTGATAATAACAACTCAAGTGGGTAGGTATACTTACCTATGTATTAAATAGTTTAAATAATTATTATGCACGAACGGGCATAAAAGTACACTTTTACTCCCGCATTTCATAGCGTGAAGTAGTACTTTTACGCCATAGGGCGCCTTTTATGCCCGCGGGCCTGAAAGTTCTAAAATTTCCAAAATAAGCAAAAAATTCGACGTAATTTTTTTTTAGTTTTTGCATTCCCATTGCTTAGTCCAAAAAATACCAAATTTTGTTCAACAAAACAAGCTTTATTTCAAATAATAAGAATAATGAAACAAGCAATAATAAAACTCAATCTAGTTTAAAATTAAAAATAATTTTTTAAAAGTTTTTCAACTTTTATAACCGACCTTTTTTCACAGAAAAACACAAAAGAACTGTTGCCTTCAACATTGAGTAACAGCTCCATAAGAAGGATGACTTATTTTTTTGCGTTTTTCATTAATTTATGTCAGGAGAGTTTCTTCTACAAAGTACTACTGCTGGTCATTAACACCATAACACCATGTTGGGCACACTAGGAAATAAGGTCCTTATATGTTCCTTCATAGAGTCTTTTGGACTTTGAAGATAATAGATCTTCCTTGGCCTCTTCAACAGCCTCAAGAATAAACTTGTGGAGGCTATTTTGCTCCATTTCCAGACGCCAGACTAGACTACACAGTAATAAAAATACTATACACTACACAGCTTAAAATAGTTATTTCTTTGTATTGTTCTGGGTTGCCATAATAGTTCGTGATACTTTTTTCGAAAACTGCTTTCTTGGTCTAAATTTGACAAAAACTCGTCCTATTATGAGGTAAAGATGAAAATTTATATTTTGAAATATTTTTGATTGATGTCATTACAAAATTAAAAATATATAATTTTTTAAATATCGAAATGAAAACATGCTCATCGTGCATAAAATCTTGTATGCACCTCGGTCAAAAACAGCTTTAACGTCCTCACCGTGTAAACAGTTCTCGGCTCACGCCTCAGGCTGTAACACACGCTGCGGACGTTAAAGCTGTACTTTTTGACCTAGGTGCATAAATAACTATTATGAAAGCCAAGATATGTCAAAACGAAACAACTTTTAATTTTATGTGCATATTTTACGACGAAAACTAGGTGATATAAAGCAAAGTGGATAGTGAAACTCGGTATAGGTCAAAAGAAAATTACGAACAACACATTGTGTAAACAATAGCCATTTTTGGTGTCGATTTCAGTTTTTAGAATAAAAAAAAAACAATTCAGTTGACAAAAAACTGAAAAATACCTGGTGGACATGTGTCCAAAAAAAAATAATCAATTGAAAAAGATGGCAACTGCCTTTTCCATACGGTAAGCCAATACCTTAGGTCTAAAGATACCTATATTGATCACAGTATATTGAAAAAAAAGTCCGTGAACTATGTTTTGCAGCACTGGGACGATTTAGTACCTTTTTTACATAATAAAACCTTATAGACTGTGAGATAGGGGCTGTTTAGTGGAGGCATTTTTTTTTGTCTGGCATTTTGAGGGCTGAATGTGGCTACTAAGCTGATGAGAATATGGTTGATTTTAATGCCTGCCTCCCGTTCGAAAACTTGTAGAAGAAAAAAATTGATTTACATGAAGATTTTTTTTTAATGATCTCAAATTTTCTGGCTTTTAAATAAAAGATTTACATTGATAAATAATTTACCCATGAAAAATACCAGATACTTTTCAATAGCTGAAAAAGTGGGAATGGGTGTCAACTTCCAAGAGAAAAGAGAAGAACCTTCCGCGTTTACTTTTTGTCGGGCATTCGAGAGAATTTAAGGTTTTGTTGTGAAAATGAAAATGATGAAAAATCGCCAGACGGTAATCACAGTTCGAAATCGAGTTTTCCGGCGAAACATTCTGTGGACATTTCGAACAGGGGGCAGGCATTAAAACGTCTTATATTCTCATCAGCTAACTGGCCACATCCATCCCTCAAAATGCCAGACAAAAAAAAATTGACTTCACTGAACAGGCACTAGCTCAGGGTCTATTATCTAAACAAGAATACAACAGGGTAATGCAGAAAAATGGATCGTATGGGACCTCCACAGAAATTTTAGCTCTTTCTGAACTTTACCAAGAAAATTTTAAGATTTATAGACAATCTGGGAATGATGATTTGGAAAACATTTTGTCTTCATCCCCTATTTGCATAAATAAAGCAAATCATGAAAACTCAATAAATTTACTTTTTTTCTGGTAATCCTGATTCCGGACATTACGACCTTATTATTTCTCCTGAAAAAAAGTTTGAAAAATAAAAATGGTCTTAAAATTCACCACTCAAGAATACATAGAAGCACTAGCCAAAGCCAAGCCAGCCAAAAATCTACTTCAACTATTTTTTCTCAACAAAAAATCTTATCAGCTGATCATATTGGTGAAAAAACTCTGAACGATGCATTATGCACTATGACATCTTCAATTCCAATTTTATGTCGTATTCCAAAAGGAGCTAGAAATACAATTTTGTCAGAATATTGTATTTTAGTGGACAAGGTAGCTAAAGAAAACTCTCTCAGGGCTTGGATACTTTTTAAAAATTTTCCCTATGCCTGTTTGTGTCTGCCAAAAAAACGGCACAAGGAATCCCTAACGTCAGATGTCAAAGAAATTTTTTTTAAATGGACAAACAATAGAAAAAAATTCTGAAAGAGTTTATAGATATTTATTCATCTTCAACAGTTATTAAAATAGAGAAAAAATGAAATTTACAAGAATAATAGCTCACCAGAAAAAGTAGAATCTAAAATTTTTGAAAGCAATATCCAAGTAGCAGTAAGCCTGTTATGCCCCAAAAAATCAAGAAATTTGGCCCCAAAAAGTCAAGAATTTTTTTCAAACTACAAGAAAAACACCCAGAACCTACTCAATTATCCCCATTTTCAAAAGAAAGGCAGGCAAATACCACCAAATAATATTAACTTCTCAAGTTCCGACGTCAAAAAGGCAATTTTCTAATTTAAACCAGGATCAGCCGGCGGCATGGCTTCCTTTAAGCCTCAACACCTCAAAGATATGGTATCAGAGAAGCTGAGTTCTACATCTTCTCTTTATTCAGCACTAGCCAATCTCACCACGAGAATTCTTCAAGACCCGTTACCTCCAGAAATCAAACCAGTTTTTTTTGGAACCTCCCTATGCGCTTTAAATAAGAAAGATGGCGGAATCCGACCGATTGCAGTAGGATGCTGCTTACGTCAGTTTCTTTCCAAAATTATTTGTTATAGCATTTCTGAAAAGGTTGGTATCCACTATCCACCTTCGTCCGTTACAATTGGATATGGTACGAGTGCGGCTCTGAAGCTATCACTCATACAGCTCGTCGTTTTGTTTCAATTTCACATAGCTCACCAGATTTTTTTCTAAAAATTGATTTTTTCAATGCTTTTAATATGATTTTCAGACCCTGTTTTCTTTCTGAAGTTTATAAAATTATTCCAGAATATTTTATTTTTTTTAATTAACGAATGCTACAGTAAACTCTCCTTTTTATCTTTTTATGAAAACATTATTCTTTCTCAAAGAGGCGTTCAGCAAGGAGGACCTCTTGGTGCTGTTCTTTTTTCCCTTGCTTTGCATAATCTCATAACCTCACTCAAATCAAAACTTAATCTTTGGTATCTTGATGATGGCACTATCTCTGATGATTGGGAAACGGTTTTGCAGGATTTTCAGAAAATAATTTCTTTTTCAGAAAAAATTGGTCTAACTGTTAACTTTAAAAAATGCGAACTGTGTATTCTTTCGGAAACGAACGAGGATTTATCTAATCAAATGAACCATTTCAAAAGCATCTCCCCTGGTATTAAAATTATTCAAAAGGAGAATCTATGTCTTTTAGGATGTCCCCTTTTTGATGATGGCTTAGCCCCAGTTTTAATGTAATTTTTTTTTTAAATTTTTATGTCAAAACCTTGAAAGAGCAAGTTCTCACATTTCTTTTTATATTTAAAAAAATTCTCTGTCAATTCCTAAAATGATCTATTTACTCCGCTGTTATCCTTGTTGGAGAAAACCCGATATTTTGAAAGAATATGATTTAATTTTAAAAGAAGCTGCTGAAAATATAACAAATTGTAAATTTTCTGAAGAATCGTAGCAAATCTGTAATTACCCGTCAAATTAGGAGGTCTAGGCATTCGAGATATTTCCACATTATGCTTTTCAACATTCATTTCTTCAAATAGATTTATTTCACCTTTCCTTTCCAAAATTTTCCCTTGTGACATTCTAGACAGGCAAGATTTTGCCCTCAACAAACCCCTACTCTCTTGGTCCTCCTTATGTGATAAAGAAATTAACAACAAAAATTTATTAACTCGGAAACAACTAGACTTTAGTTTATGTTCTTTTTTTATTGAAAAAATTATATCACTTAATAAAAATCCTTTAGATTGTGCACGATTATTGGCTAACAGGGAAGAGGAGAGTGGAGCTTGGTTGAACGTTTTGCCCTCACCTTCCTCGGGAACACTTTTGGACGATTCGTCATTTCGCATTTCCATTGCCCTGAGGTCTGGGCAAACTATTTTCGAATCACATACCTGTACGCGGCGAAACAGTTGATAATTTGGGTCTTCACGGACTATATTGTCGCAAGAGCGCAGGAAGGTGGTCTCGCCACACCATGCTCAATGATATTTTGAAAAAAGCTTTCGCTTCAGCAGAAATAAATACAACTTTGAAACCTGTTGGAATTCACAGAGCTGATAGAAGGCGAGCTGATGGGTTGACTTCGGTTCCTTGGAAGGGCGAAAAACAACTTGTCTGGGATGCTACTTGTAGCAATACTTTGGCTTCTTCATATGAGTTATGTGGTAGTCAATTCCCAGAAATGCTGAAGTTGCCGTTGCTGAGGTTGCATATTCAACCTCAATATATAGAAGATCCCAACCAGGCGCGGGCAGTCTGCTTTTAGATATATTTTAACTTTAATTTTTAACTTGTTAGTTTAAGTTGTAATAATAAATTTTTAAAAAGGCAAACCTCTGGTCGTGTTAGTTAATTTATGTAAATTTTACCAGTATAAAATCAGGGAAGGCAGCCAGAATTTCGAAAAAAAAAAACAATAAATAAAAGGATATTTTAAATAAATATTATTTTGTACCTTTTTGTGTGGAGACTTTTGGACCATGGGGATCGGAATCAAAAAAATTAATAAAAAAATTAGGTAAACGAATTCAGACTTTAACAGGTGAGGCAAGATCGACAAGCTTGTTAAAACATAGAATCAGCATTGCAATACAATTCGGAAATGCCGCATCGGCTTTGGGAACAATGCCAAAAGAAACAGCTCTGGATGAGATTTTTTTACTTTAGTTAAGTTAATTATATTAAAAACATCAATAAAAAAAAATAATTACTATTTAAATAATGTGGTATGACCACTATAACCAGACATGAATCTCTTAAAATCTAGTTAGCGAAACTATTTTTGTGGGTTGTTTTTGCAGCTCAGGGTTTGCCTGAATGAAATATAATTGGTTCTCACACCAAATTTTCTGCCAACTACTATAAAACACACATTACGCATTAGTATTTAAAACTATAATTTTTTTTTTCATTGGATGTCACTTATTTTATTTTGTTTTTGATTATACCTATTGGACACATTATTAATCTTGCCGAAAAAAATTTCAAATAAACACCATATTGATATTATTGAAGAAAAAGAAATTATGGCTGTTTTGAAAGTGTCTTGAACAAATTTATTTTGAATTTGGTATTGGTATCAAAAATGTATTTCACCAAAAAAAAATTATCAAATCAAATTTAAATACCTCGCCTACTAAACAAAAAATGAATTATGGATTTAAATGTAAACTGTAAACATTTAGAGGCAATGGATTGCGAGTCGCGTCGCCGGCGCCGTTGCCAAGTTGTGTAGCAATACAGTAGGCTGCCGCACATCGGGGGACATTACTTTAGTTGCCGACTGTACATGTTAACTCTCATGCAAGAGATTGATCCCAAATATAGATATACTGCTCAAGGTAGTGGCAGGGCAAGAAACCATGCGTTTTATTTTTCTAAAGACAATAAAAAATTAAGAGTATGCAAAGAATTCTTGGTAGCAACACTAGGCATTACTAACCGTTGCATACGCACAGTAAAATCTAAAATTAAGAATGGTACTCTGGGGCAAGATAATAGAGGAAAACATCTAAACCACAAAGCCGTTTCTGAAGACATAAAAGATGAGATTCGCTCTCATATTTCATCAATTCCATCAATCGAGAGCCACTATACACGTGCACATACTGAAAAGACTTACATTGAAGGAAGTAAAACAATTGCCCAGCTATATCGAGATTACAAGTCAGATTGTGTAGCCCAAGGAAAACCCTATGGAAACTTAACCATGTACAGAAAGATTTTCAATTATGAATTCAACATAGCCTTTTTTGTTCCAAAGAAGGACCAATGCCAAACATGCGTTTCTTTCCAAAACTCAAACGAAGATGAGAAAAAAGACTTAGAAGAAGAATATAAGAGTCATGTCGAAGAAAAAAATTTAAGTAGGGAGGGAAAAAATATGGACAAAAGCAAAATTTCTAAATTATTTCAAGTAGCATGTTTTGATTTAGAGGCAACACTTCCAACACCAAACGGCCAAGTATCTTCGTTTTACTATAGGTCTAAGTTATCGACGTATAATTTCACAATTTGTGACATAAAACAAAAAGGACAGGGTCCTGTCTACTGCTACATGTGGCATGAAGGTGGAGGAAAGAGAGGAGCCATTGAGATTGGTACCTGTTTATTGAACTATCTTAAAGAAAAATCTGATACTTCCGACAGTGATGATCTTGAAATAACGTTATATTCTGATAACTGCGCAGGTCAGCAGAAAAATAAGTTTGTCATTGCCGCTTTCCTTTATGCTGTTGCTAATTGCAAAATAAAGTCAATAACCCATAAATATCTCATCACGGGGCATACCCAAAATGAGGGTGATAACGTTCACTCCTTAATAGAGAAAAACATCAAACGAGCTTTGAAATCCGACCGCCATCTAACACCGAGTACCAAAACTTTTTCGCGACATTATCCGAAAGCTGTGATAGTATACAGTCAAACTATCCACAGGCGGAAATTGTCTTTTTAGGCGATTTCAACGTCCACAATATACCCTGGCTGAAACACCACAACAAAACAGATAACGAAGGCAGAGAAGCAGAAGCTTTTGCCATAAGTTGTGGTCTAACGCAGCTTGTCGATGAACCTACCCGTATCTCAGAAAGGGGCGAATTTGCAGCGCTTTTAGACTTGTTCCTAACCACAATTCCTGACTCGTACACAATTCAAGTAGATGCTCCACTTGGTTCGTCCGATCATAAACTTATAATAACAAAGTGCGAAATGCTCATCCCACCAAGCCAACGACTACTTCCTCGTAAAATGTGGCACTATAAATCGGCAAAATGGAATGACCTAAAACAGTTTTACCTGGATTTTCCATGGCAAGAGGTTTGCTTTAAAACAGCTGATCCCACTATTTGCTGTAATGAAATAACACAAGTAATCTTATCTGGAATGGATGCATATATCCCACATACAACTAAACGTAGAGCTAATGCAAAACCTTGGTTCAACAGCCAGTGTCAAACGGCTGTACAGAAAAAACACAGAGCATATAACCTTTGGAAACGACAACAAACCGCTCAAAACCACACAGAATTTATAGAAGCCAGAAATAGTTGCAAAATTACTATTGAGTCCGCTAAAGAAACATACAATCAAAGAATAAAAAACAGGTTGCTGAATTGTCCAAGTAGTTCTAGGTCCTTTTGGTCTCTTGCAAAAGCTGTTGGTTCTAACTTCACCAAGTCATCCATACCACCACTTACAGATAAAAATAATCACTTAGCCACAACATCAGAGGAAAAAGCCAATATGCTGGCCCAAATGTTTTCCTCCAACTCCAACCTAACAGTGCTAAACGGAAAAACTCCACCGTTCATTGAAAGGGTTTCCCATAGTATGCCAGAGGTACCCTTTTGTCACAGAGAAATACGAAAATCCCTTAAAAAGCTAGATACAAACAAAGCAATGGGTCCGGATGGCATTCCCGCAATAGTACTCAAAAATTGCGCCAACGAACTCACCCCAACTTTCGCAAAATTATTCAATTTGTCTTACAGGCAAGGAGTATATCCATCATCATGGAAGTCTGCCGCAGTACAACCCATTCCAAAGAAAGGAAAAAAGACAGATCCGTTAAACTATAGACCAATTGCTCTACTTCCGGTGATATCAAAAGTAATGGAAAGAGTTGTGAACAATCACCTAACCAAGTACTTGGAAAAGTACAAAATTATCAACGATAAGCAATACGGATTTCGAAAATATAGGTCAACTGGCGATTTACTTACATACGTCACTCACTTATGGCAAAAAGCGATTGAGTTGCGGGGTGAAACAAGAACAACTGCCTTAGATATATCTAAAGCATTCGACAAAGTTTGGCATGAAAATCTGCTCAACAAGAATTCCACAATTTAAAGAAAAATCAAATCGGTATTGATAATAAAATTGTAACTCTGGAGACAACTTACTTTTATTTGGCCAACCCGAAATTGAATATTCCAATATTTTTTTACAAATATTATCCGATTCCTGTTCATGAACAATTTTTGATAAATAAGCATCTTTAACTGGAAAATTTTTTACAATCTCGCCAACATATGACTCTACCTCTTCTAAAAGTTCTTCATAAGAGGGCATTTCAAGAGGGTTTCTGGAAAGAGCGTCAGCTACTTGAAGGTTTTTATCAGGAGTATATTCAACCGAATAATTATACCTCATCAACCTTATACGAAACCTTTGAAGACGAGGTGTTAAATCATCTAAATGTTTAGTTTGTAAGATTTGTAATAGTGGTTTATGATCGGTTTCTAAAATGATATTCGAAAGACCAATTAGATATTCCTTAAACTTTTCACACGCCCAAGTTAAACCTAAAGCTTCTCGCTCAATTTGGCATGAAAATCTGCTCAACAAGCTCAAAGCAATGGGATTATCGCCAAAACTTTGCACTTGGTTTGAAAGTTACCTAAAGGACAGATCCATTTATGTTGCACTGGATGGCCAGAACTCCAACTCTTACCAAATAAATGCTGGTGTGCCACAGGGAGCAATCCTTTCGCCAACTCTTTTCCTGATTTACATAAATGACCTCATAGATAAAACAGTAAATCCACTTTATTGCTTTGCAGACGATGGCAATGTAGTCTCCTCACTCATACCACCCACAGGTCTTTCCGCACGTGAATTTCATCATCTTAGACTAACTCAAATATCGCAGATAAATAACGACCTAGAGATAATAGAGGACTGGGGTAACAAAAACCTTGTACAGTTCAACGCCCAGAAAACCCAAGCAGCTCTGTTTTCAAAAAAGACCAGCACCGGTGAGCCAAACATCATGCTATCTGGAAAAAAAAAAAAAAAAAAAAAAAAAAAAAAAACTAGACCTATTAGTACGCCATCGCAGTATGTGAGCTTAGTGCAAACGGCCAAAAAAACAGGAGAGCCATCCAAAGTAATTGAATTAGCACACAATGACTTTTTGGATATGAAAAATCTAGCTGAACGGACTTGTTCAAATTTTAACAAGAATTCTTTGGGACAAAACTTTAAGTTATCAGATGTTTCTGTAATAAGGGTAGAAAAAGAGAACCTGGGTAGTTTTTTTTATAAAACTTCGTTCAAAGACGTTGACTATAAGGAAGTAAGCGTAAATAATGAAAGACGCACAAGAAAGCCATTGAATAATGAACCTCTCTCAGGGTTTCATTTTAAAAAAGCTTACAATAAACCAATACCGATTACAAAAAAAAAAAATACGACGACCTAATGTTTCTATTGAGAACCAATGCAATTAATAAAACTCTCAGTCAGTTTTATGAAAATTTGACATTTGAATGAAAATCTTCAATTATTGGAAGAAGAGGTGTATAAAATACAGGTTATTATTAATATTAGACTAATAAGTAATGAATTTAGAAAAAAAACATGATTTTTTATACTTACTTTGAATTTTTATGAATAAAGTTTATTTTGTGCAATCTTCCTATTCTTGTTTTATTTATTTTAAAGCAATTTTATTAAACATTTTTTCAAATTGTACCAATATTATTTCAATGTTACTGTCTAAAACTTGAATTTATCCGTTAGTCAATAGTGACACAACCCATCAAAGATCAATTTTCAAAAAAGAAAAAACGAAAAGAAATATTTCTCTATGAATAAAATCAAAAAACAAAACAATCAATATTGTCAAATTTTAAATTGCTATTGAGAATTTCATACATCTGTCAAAACTGGTAGGTATTCCAACAATAAATTGACATGTTTTGATTGTTGATTTGAACCAATCAGATTGTAATTACGGGTGCACTAGTGCAAATTATCAGATAATTGCATACTAACTGGTGCGAAAACTGGTGTTTTGACATTTTTTGACAAAAAATTTAAATTTTTGATTTATGAAATTCTCTCATTAAATACAACTCGTGCAATGGAAATATATTTATAATTTTCGACAAATTTGCACTCATGCGTTTTTAACTGAAAAAGGCACTCGTGCACTACGTGCACTCGTGCTCTTTTTCAACTAAAAATGCATTCGGGCAAATTTCCCAAAAATTATCAATAATTTCCATTGCACTAGTTATATTACTATTGATAATTTTACAATTTTTTGACTTGGAAAATTATCAATATCTTATATCTTAGTTTTCTCTTATATCACTATTTTTGAGTTGTGCCATTATTGTCGCCAGTGAGCGATATGTGTTCTGTGAGTGTACTTCTATGAATCTGGCAGACGTGAAACGACTGGTATTTATGTGACAAAAGCGATGCCTGGTCCTACTGGTACCTATTGGGGGAACCACTCTCAAAATTTAAGCGGACTGAATCACATATTTGGGAAATAGCAGCACATCAATCAAAAGCACACGCAAAATTTACGTGGGCTAGTATTCTAGGGTTAAATATCAATTCATATCTTATTTTAAGATCGGGAAGAAAAATGGTGTATATTCAAGGCACAATTTCCTGATATTTTCAACTTCACCTAACTAATGTTGTGGCAGCACCTCAAAACTGACACCGCTGCAGTGATATTATGAAATTTAATTATTAATAAAACCTCACCAAGAAGCCGGCAAACAAAACAATGCAAGCCTACAAGAAAGCGGCGTGGAAGGAAATGCATATTTCATTTTCCATCATCGAATTGCAGATATACTTATTACGCCATGTTCATTTAATTCCATTCGTGTGTGTGTGTGATATATGGAGGACAGCACTCATAGAGGGTACAGGCGGCAAACCGAATTTCCTCGGGCTACAGGCTGGATAGGGTGGTCGGTGGCAATGGTTACATTCACCATATGTTGGAGAATTTATATTCTTATGGGCTGGCAAGCTGCGGTCTAATTTTTTATTATTTATTGTTCATGATTGTGTTGGTTATTAAATTTTGTTTCACGGCGGTAATTTAGTACTGGACGGATGCAATTTACGTTATTAATATTGAGAAATTTGAATCTAAATATAGAAGCTAATGTCCTTGTACCTACTTCTTTTGCAGCCAAAACTTCAATAAAGTCTTTCCAAAAAACTAGTTTCTTATGGAATCGTTACGCAGCTGCGATTTGCTAAACCATAGGCACGTGTTGGCTATTAAACTTATCCCTATAAGGTCCAGCTTATTAATTTTCAGATAAACTTGCTGGTCGCTATCTGCAAGATAAATTAACCGTTCTATTGGTCGGCGGATAACTGGCCGACCAATGGGATGCACATTGCGTTTTTATCTGTCAGATTGCATACCTTATAGTTTATCAGAAGGTGAATAAACCGGCCCTAAGATTATTATATTCTATTTCACCGCTCCATTATCTTTAAGATCCGAGTTGAAATGGGGACCATATTAAGCCCGACTTGCCTGAATCAAGTCTTATCGATACCGAAGATTTGGTTGAATTTAATAATTCCTAAGGACCTGGATTGGAGAATTTTGAAACTTAGAAAAGCGCTCCCATATTATTCACGCTTGTTTCTTCTCTAGTTCCGGAAAAGACTAATGAGTCGAATGGTTTCTCAGCTAGAAAAATGGTTCGGTCTGAATTTCTGCATTGTACTGTAGTATAACATACCCGGGTTTGTTCAGTAAGATTGAACAGTGTGAATTTTTATTACCTCTTAAACAACAAATCTTCTAAAAAACGAAATGGAAAACAAATAGGACCTACGTTGTGGAAACTAACTCAATTTTACTTACTGGACATGCACCCGACATTGGCAAATATTTGGGAAATTTAAGGGAAGCTGTGATATGTAAAAGAAACGAGAAATTCGTGAAACGCCTACTTTATTATTAGAATAAATCGTCCCGTTCTCATCCTGGAACTAACGAGGGGAAAGATCACGGCAGAGAAACCCTCGATTTAACATTCCTTGAAAATCGAAACATACTGTGTCATTTTAATAATTATTGTAAGTTATTAATTAAATAATTCAAGTCAATAAAAGTTTAAATTAGGTACCGCCCCTGTCCTTGTGCTAAAATTTCAATTACACACACTGCATTCAATCAACACTACCTATATTCCATACTGAAGAGTTTTTTGGTTAGTTAGCCAGTTTTCCAGCAGGTACTGAGGTCCTATACGGAAAGCTATAGTCCAACAAATACCATTTTAAAGTCACGTGATTTTTCTCTATCCTTGTTGAATACATCTCAAACAGCGGTGATAGTAAAATTGACAAAAAAATTGCTGTCTAATTATTGTTCATAATATTCTTACCTGAAATAGAATCCGTCACTGTCATCAATTAGTTTGTCAAAGTTATTTTCGAAAATAATACAACGAACAAACACAGCTAATAATTTTGACTATATTAACCTTTTTCCAACTCGAAAAGAAGCAAATAGAAAACGGGTATCCAGTTTAAGTTCAGAATGTATTACAACAGACAGCAGATGCGATAAAACTGAGTCTCGCAACAATTGCAAGTATAAAAATTGCCCTCTGATTGGTCAATACTACTTCAGAAACGCGTTTGTAAAATGCTAGTGGGAACATATATTAAAATTGGAGTGGGCATTGGTTGTTTAAAAGTAGTGTACACATTTTATCTCTCACTCCAAAAAGTTGAAGTTATCCCGTTTAATCAAGAGGGAAAATAGCCAAAAGTTACCTGCTTTAAAAGAGTAAGTCACCAGTAACGTATTGTGCCTTTATTCCCTGCACCAAACATTATCTTTGGCTAAATCTTTCGTAAACAAAAACGTACTAAATTATGGCTATATGACCAAAAATCAATCAACTCGGACATGTTCGATGTGCGCAGCTACGGTTCATGAAACATGTGGTCAACTCGCTGATGCCGGGGCGGGATCGCCTGCACAATTCAAATGTCTGAAATGCACTTCGAGCACGAATGCGCCAAAACCATTAACTACGGAGCATTTCCAAGCAATAATGGCCGAATTTTCCTCTCTAAAAATAACCGTAAATGCCTGCGAAGGCAAAATTACTGCTTGCGACGCTAAAATCGAAACGTTAAACCAGCATATTGCATCCCAGGCTGTATCCATTGCCAATTGTGAGACCGAAATTACCAATTTGAAAACTGAGACTTGTTCTCTTCGCAAGGAATTCGATAACTTACAATCAAAGGCGCAAAACTTTGAAGACTTCTTTGAAGAATCTCGAGATCGTACGCGTCGAGAATGCAATGTCATAGTCTCAGGCCTTAGACAAGTGGTAGATGATAAAGCCGAAGTCCAAAAGATTCTAACCGAAATTGGCCTACAGAATATATCTCCAAAACTGACGTTCCGTTTTGGTAAAGCAAACACTGGTCCCAAACCACTTAAGGTCATATTTTCATCGAGTTCTGATGCCATGGAAGTTTTGAAAGCCAAGTCTCGCCTAACGTCTCCTCAATACAAGTCTGTCACCATGAAATCGGACTTGACCCCACGTCAGGTTCAACATCTGAGTACGCTTCGAAAGGAACTGCAAAAACGTACAGATGAAGGTGAGGATAACCTGACAATCAAATATATACGAGGAGTACCTCGTATTGTGTCATTACGCAGCGATGGAAAGAGAGAACGTGAAGAGAGCGCATCCCCTGAAATCCACAAAAAACATACAGGACCAAACGGCTCTAACGCATTGTAGCAACCATTGAACATTGTTTTTTGGAACATCAAGGGGTTTAATCGCATTCATCACTTTGCAGAGGCCATTCACAACTACGACATAATCTGTTTCTCTGAAACATGGGAGAAGGACGACATTATTCTTCCCGACTATTTATCGCAATACAACGTCCTCTCATCTCATGCTTTGAGAGAAGCATCTCGCTTGCTTCCACCATAATGTCATTCCTCAGGCTTCGATCCTTTTTGATATCGCAGGATTAGAATTTGTTAGAAATATCAACTTTCTCTCTTTTTTTTGTTGTATAGACCCCTTCCATAGGTACTTTTATTAGGCACCAAAATGTGAACCCTTCTGGTTTTTAGTTTATACATAGAAATACAAGTAACTTTATCTTTCGCTTTGTAATTAGATTAAGATTATTTAGATTATTATTATTTTTTTTGTTCGTTTCTAATAACAAATACGTATCCAAATTCAAAACAAATTATATTCCCTCCTTTATAAGTTTATTTTTGCTTTTGTAATTCAAACCACTACGTTTACTAGATTTAGAGCACTCATTGTTATAGAAAATACTTTCTGGAAACAATAAAAATTGAATTGAAAAAAATTGAATTGAATATATTAAAATTCAATAGTAATTAACCACCAGTAGCTTTTTGTAGGTGATATCAACGACATAATCAACGGACATAACGTGCGTTTTTATTCTCATCGAGTTTTCCTGATGGATTCCATCACCGATGAGCGCCGATGAGCAGTACGTCATCAAAATTCATCGCAATTTTGTTGATGAAATGAATCAACTAAAAAACACTTCGATGCATTTTGACACTTGAATTGATACTTTTGGCATTGATGTGTGTTGTTTGTTTGATGTGGCAAACTTATTATTTTTTTATTTGTTTGAAAAACCGTAGCCATACAATGATTAGAAGTCTAGTGTTAGTTGAGAATAATTGTGAGCTCTTCATCATCATCAAGTGATGAGTCTAGAAGTTCTTCAGATGAAATAGTTTTACTTGAATTGTAGAAAACATAAAAAAAATACAAAATTATATTTCTTCTGTAGTTCTTTGCATAGTGATTTAGATGTTAAGTCTCATTTTAGACTTACTAAGACTGTAGTGGAGGTGAGATATTAGAAATAAAATTATCTCTGAGATAGTTAGCTGAGCTTTAAGACCTCACAGATTAGTTTGATTTGATATTTCAGATATATTTCTCACTTGTCACAAAGTTAGGTAATTTGGCGCCCTTATGCTCAGAACTCTTAGGTTTGGTATGGTCTCGGTTTTCACACCCTTCAGATCACTTGAACATGCCTTTTTTTCCTTTTTTTTTTTGTTAAGGTCTTCGCAAATCTTCACATAATAAATATAAATGCAAAACAAAACGATGCCAGTCGGCCATCAACAACCGTCAACATAATTTTGAGGTTACATTTTACGTTATAATTCATCAGTTCATCCTAAATGAACCTCGATGAATTCGATGGCTAATCGTACGTTCACCGATAAGTGTAGGATGAGAATAAAAACAGACCGATGAAATCCATCGATGTTTTACTGATGAGAATAAAAACAGCCAATTGACATTTTCGCTTAATCGATGAGCACATCGGTGAGAATAAAAACGCACGTATACGTTTTTTGCTACCAGTATTGCGTGACTTTAAAATGGTATTTGTCGGACTATACTCAGCTATAGTTGTTTTTGAGCCAATATCTCTAGATTGATTATTTCAATTTGTTAGGATATTCTCTCGTCAGGGTAGAAAAATGTTAGTAAATTCAACAAGGCTTTAATACACGCTCTAAATCCAAAAATCGAAATCCTAGCACAAAGAGACAGCACATAATTTTTGTTAAATACATGAATAATGCACATGCTATTGTCGTATCTAGGATAATAGGGCATCTCCCTTCGGTAAATTAAACTCAATCGTCTCCCAAAAAAGTTCATGGGTTACAGGAAAACCATCGGTCACGTTACATGTAAATAACATTGCAAGTTGAACGAATTATTAAACTATTAATTTGTACGGACATAGAACTGAAACCCATAGAAGGTCAATGCCGATGCCAGGTCATCGGCAGTTATTGTAATTAGAAATCACGTATGATGGTTGCGAGACTAGGATGAAATAAGGTGGTTTTGGAAGATAGGATCGGTCTACAGATGGAGAATTATCCACGTTAGTTAGTCAGTAGTAATAGTGCCTTTTAGTCTTGTGGTAATTATTAGTGCCCATGCCCATATCTGAAATGTAATTTTGGTAAGCTTTATTGTAAATACACTTTCCTATTTTTGTACTTGGCTCTAGTTTTGATTCACACCCCCTCATAACCCCCAGGTCGGACATATGGTGGAGGCGCCATGTTCTTTCCCTTTCACCAAATCTTCCTATTTGGTGTAATTATTTTGTACAATTTGTTTTTTTTCTTTTCTTTTTGGGGTGATGCGTGGATCAAAAGAGCGGCCAGTATAATTTTCCTACTTTTTTTCTCAATAAGTGCGGCCAATTTAGCTAATATTTATAGTGATTACAGATTATATTATATTATATTTTCTTCCCGATTTTTAATTATTTTGATGTTATTTTTTTTTGGTAGTATAGGTACCTACCGTATTGAGACAAGGGTAATTAGCCTGGTCAGATGATAATTTTTCATTATTGAATAATAGTTATGCTTATAAAAGGACACGAAGCAGGGCATGACTGAATTCGAGAAAACAGTAGACTAGTCACAGCATCGAAAAAATTAATTTTAAGCCTACACTCCAAGGCATTGTAATCAGCGGTTTTTCTCCGTCAAATAAACGAAACCGAAGTCCAACTGGAAAGAGTTCAGAGTATAAAAAAAATGTTATAGACAAACAAAAGATACATAAAAATGAACAAAATAATAGGTACTTGCATAAATTGAACTCTCAAAAACAAAATAAAATTTATTCAACTGACCTGTGATTGTTCCTCGACACAGACACTAATAACATATTGAATTGAACAGTCAGTTTAATGCAAAATAAAAATAAAAATTGATTATTGGATTATTACAGACACGCGTCTAAGGGACCAGTCCAGCTTGTTCTCTAGTCTAGTTGTGTCTCTCTATCTCCCGTTCGGTACCTCCACTTTCAGTATGCTTTTTCGTTGAGGCGCGTTGCAATGGTTGCAACATTTTCTTTTATTCAGTAAACGTTTTTTTAAAAAGTTAGGATTTGAAGAAATAATATTTCAAATAAGTGGACTTCCTCAGTGCACTCACTCTCTAATTGGCCGGTTCTTTGTCACCCGGTGAATGAGAACTTTTGTACTTTCTTTAACTAAAAAATTATCTCTCTCTGATTTAATTACAACCTATTACGCGCACGATAAAACTTGCAAATCTTGATTAAGATTGACTGCAGATTTATGCAAGTTTGTTCGTCAAGTGGGAAACAAATTCAATTTAACTTGGTGAAACAAATTGTGACAGAAACTGTTTGATAATGAATCTCTACTGCATCCAGAGAATATGCAGTGGGTATTCACTTGGCCTCAACGACAAAGAAAAAAAAATCCTGACATTGGAACTTGTATAACATACTACAATCCTACAACATACGATATCCCATATCGTAGGATTTGTGATACCTATTTTAACCAAATAAATTATTTTGTTTTGCTAATTTATAATCCAGGGTTGCGTGTACGGTATCGGTTCAGATTTTCGTGACGTTTGTCAACGGATATATCGTCGCTGATCTGACAAAGGGGCGTAACGGTCAATTATTCCATATTGGAGTTAAGGTCGCCGAGTGATTTCTTAGAGTTGTATGTATGATCTGACAAGAGGGCGTATGCTCAAAGGTATTACTTTTCTCTATACATAAAATCAGCTAAAGGCGTAAGTACACAGCAATTGCATATAGGATCTGACTGAAAGGCGTATATCCAAATATTAGACTTACACCATTTTGTTAGATCCTACATTGCGTATTTTTGGAAACGCTCATCCGATTAACCCGATCACCAGCTTTTTGTTTTTCATCTTTCATCAATATACGCGATTGATAAAAAAAAAACAATCGAATCAGCGTTTCTGGAACTTTCTCTCTCAAGAGAAATACCTTAAATACAATACCACAACCTTTAAAAAGATGTAGAAAGTCTGTATCTATAGTGTGGTCAAATTGGCAGTTGGGGTGAAACAAATTAAAGACTGGGGTTTTCAACGGAAATGTATTGTTTTTATGGTCATTGATGACATAATAAAAGTCCCATCAAATCGAGCATAAAATATTGCAATGGCAAGTTAGAAAAAAATGGCTACCATTTTTAGTTGAAAACCTAAAATTATTTCCTCCAAAAAAAAAAACAAACTATAATTAGATCTTATTTTTGATTTTTGTATTAAGTAGGTTTGTGTTGTTTTTTAGTTGGGTTCTCTTCAAACCTTTTTTGACTTCAATTGATTATTTTCGCCCAATTTTTATCTCTGAGATTGTATTTTCTAACAGTTTATTATAAGATGAATTAACTGGGCCTTGAAGTAGTAAGCGCAAGCAAACGATAAATAGAAAAGAGTGCCATACTTATGCGAATGGGAAACAGCTAACAGATCTAATGAGTAATGATTCTTTAGAATGAAAATCTACAAGACAGATTCTCGAGAATGACAAACAACTCAACAGACATTTTTGAGGATGAGAAGCCACACAAGAAATTCACCAGAAATTGTTGAAAGTGAGAAACCAAAAAACAGAGATCTTCAAGAAAAACAGCTCAACAAATATTTTTGCCAATGAAAAACAAACCAGCCAAATTCAACAGGGATTCTGATTCTCTGAGATTGGGAAACTATGACAGATTTAACAGAAATTCTTCAGAATGAAAAACTAATGACAGATTCTCAAATTCAACAGACAAATCTTTGAGAATAGGAAACCACGCAATAAATTCGCCAGAAATTTTTGAGAATGAGAAAACATTCAACCGAAATATTTGAAAATCAGAAACCAAATCTACC